ATTCTTTCATCCGGGTATTCGTATTCGTTGGTTGGCGCCAAAATTAAGCAAGCTCGCTGGCGGAGTCAGTTGTTGCAGAAATCTGCTTCAGAGCAGTCTGTTTACTACTATTCACTGACCTTACATGTAAATTATACCACAACCGCCCCTCCCCAGCAACCCCCGACTGAAATTAGTATGAAGAATTTTCAGTTTATTGCTGGTAAGCCTTTATGATTTTTTTTCCTTTTTAGCAACTGAACAAATCAGTAAAATTAAAATAAAGCCATTTTTTTGTTAACTCTGAAACTTAGTTGATCTTCTGACGTTACCTTTATTTTTCTTATCTTATATCGTTTGTCGTACACATGACACCATTATCTGTTTTTGCAGGAATACCATTGGAAAGGTATGAATTCATCTCTTCTATTGAAACAGAGCTTAATAAAGAGTTCTACATAATGGTAAAGTATTAACTATCTGAAAACACCATTGCCACTAATGTCTTACTATTACGTGGAAGGTATTTCCGGGATGTATGACGCCGGGTGTATTTCTGCCGGACACCGTGTAGTATGAAGAATTAGAAGGTGTGGAGTATAGACTCCACATTGTAAAACCCCAATTGCTACAGGAACACCAAACTTGTTAAGGTTGTTACCATCTGCTACAGAGAGGAACCTACAGGACTTACCTATAATATATATTTGTGGAAAAGAATTGAAAATCCTTATTCAAAATAATATAGACAAATCTATCTATCTATCTATCTATCTATCTATCTATCTATCTATCTATCTATCTCAGTCTGTTAATATCTATCTATCTATCTATCTATCTATCTATCTATCTATCTGAATCTGTTAATATCTATCTATCTATCTATCTATCTATCTATCTCAATCTGTTCATATCTATCTATCTATCTATCTATCTATCTATCTATCTATCTATCTATCTATCTCGGTCTTGTTTATATCTATCTATCAATCTATCTATCTATCTATCTATCTATCTATCTATCTATCTATCTATCTCAGTCTGTTAATATCTATCTATCTATCTATCTATCTATCTATCTATCTATCTATCTATCTATCTATCTATCGCAGCCTGTTCATATCTATCTATCTATCTATCTATCTATCTATCTATCTATCTATCTATCTATCTATCTACTTACCTAGATTATCCTGTGGATCTACATCATCTCGAAACTAGATTATCTCTCAAATAGTATATTCCCGCTCAATTACACGCACACAGACATGCATTTAATGGTTGCATCTAATAAAAGTAAACATGTCCTCGAAGGAGCTAATACTTTTTTGCCGAGAGAATAAGGCACCTTATTGCATTTAACAACTTTGGCTCTCATGATTACTGGCAGTCAATAAAGTGCCATACGTGTTACACTCTTGGGCGATCATGTATCTTTTGATACATGACTGACGAGGCAGATATTTTCTTGCAGTAGGTTGCCATTTTTTTGTGTTAGACTGGTTACCAACCAAGTCTAAACCCAGCCTGTTCTACTATTTAACCCATAGAAGGAGGGTATTTGTGCGTAAGTGAATCTATCAGACTAGAATTCGAACGCGGCTCTTCGAGTTCTCACACTGAGAACACACATTCTCTGTAATAGGGTAAAAGCAAGTTTTCTATTCCTCCTCTTTTCAATCAATTCCAGGTGTTAACATATTCGACTGATAAAGCTGAATATTTCACCTGTAAATTCTCCTTAATTTCCTTTCCTGACTCATCGGGAGAATCCTTGCCTAATTTCCTACTTAGACCTCAGTTTATGGTAAGTGATATGCATAACTATGGCTTTTGCTATCATTTCTAACCTTGATCCGCACGAAGCATGTGAATCTGATTGTATCATCGTAATTGTTATTAAGAAGTGTGCTTTTTTTCTTTGTTTTGCTGCATATAAAAAAATCTTGTGGGTCATTTAATGCCGAAATTTAATTTTCTTTGGAGTATTAGTAATGTATCTCTGCTGGTATTTTTATTTTCTATGAAAATATAATGCTGGTATTTTTACTATAAAAATGCTAATATTTTCATCGTGTTCTGACCCGAGTTTGGGTGTTAACTATTTGCTGAACAGAGACCTTAACAGGTTCTACCACTCCGGGTCAGGGTGGACCTGGGACAACAGCAATTAAGAAGTTGTTCTACACACTTCCAAACTTCCTGTTCACAGACTCCGCCACCGTTTCCTGTTTTCTTTAAACTATATAATAAATACCTCGCTGCGTTTGGCTTTCGTGCTTGTTAAAAATCCTCATCTGTTGTCCCTGTTTTGAAGAACTCAGGTGAACCGTCAAAATTTTTGCTTATTTTTCACCAACGATTCAGATAAAACAAAACAGACTGTTTTGTTTCGAATTTTCATTAACGACCTTCCCAATGACATCAACTCTTAACTTGGTATCTAAGCTGATGACACAAGCATTTACCCCTTTCTCGATAGTAAGGATGAGGTCAAATTGGTAGCTGATGCCAAAAAAGATTTATACTTTGTTGTTAACTTAGGTAAAGGTTGGCTTGTTAATTTCCTCATCTGTTGTTTGAATTTTTAAGAATTCAGTTGAACCGTCGAAACCTTCCAACTGTCTGTCTCTTTTTGGTAAACTACTAGATGGCATAATTGATGCTGAATCATCTTACATTACAAGGTTTTCTTTCAGACGTACAATATGGCTTTTGTTTCTCTAGATCAACTGCTGATGTACTGACAGTAAATAGTCTATCAAAATTTAGATAAGAATGGCGAAACTCGGGCTGTTGCATTGGAAATCTCGAAAGCGTTCAACAGGTTTTGGCATACGGGTTTTCTTCACAAGTTAAAAAGTTACGGTGTCTTCGGACAAAATTTTAGAACTGATCTGGTTTCTTCTTATCAAATCGTGAAATAAACGTTATCTTGAACGACCATTCTTCTACATCTTTTTATATTAATACAGGTGAGCCCAACAGGGCTATATCCTTTGTCTTACTTTGCTTTTAATTCTTTTTATTAAGCCCCCCCACCTGATGTCATCATCTCTCAACAACCATTTATTCCTTTCTCGATAGTAATGATGTTCGGTTAATTTAACGTGTTCTTGTCTATTTCAGTTCCAAGAGATATTTGATTTTGGATAATGTTTTAAAAACAAGGTTAAATCAAAGATCAGATTGATGCTTTTTGTCGTCTGGGATCCTTGGATATTAAGAGCAGAAATATAGGGGTGGGGGGTGGTAATGAATGTATTAGCAATGAGAAAACTACGATGCATTGTGGACCGTCTCCTTCATAGACAGCAGCAGAACATTGTGCGACATGTCATCCGAAAAGAAACCGCCCCACTGGATGACGTCATATCCTGCGTCAAGAAGAGACATTTGAAATAAACTTTCCACTGGCATTCGACAAAGTGCCGCTTTAGATAAACGAAGAAGAGGCAGAGAAACGAATGGTGGACTGAAAGAGCAGTTACAAAGATTCAAACAATACGGTAGGCAACATATGGAGGGAACTTGTAAGACTGATAAGAATAATGGCGACGATGATGATGATGACGTGATGCTGATGATGACGGTGACGACGATGATGATGATGAGGAGGATGACGACGATGATGCTGATGATGATGATGCGGAGGAGGAAGACGATGACAGCGATAATGATGATGATAATGATAATGATGATGATGACGACGATGATGCTGATGATGATGAGGAGGAGGAGGATGACGATGACAGCGATAATGATGATGATAATGATAATGATGATGATGACGACGATGATGCTGATGATGATGATGAGGAGGAGGATGACGATGACAGCGATAATGATGATGATAATGATGATGATGATGATGATGATGACGATGGTTGTGATGATGATGATGATGATGATGATGATGATGATGATGGTTGGTTGTGATGATGATGATGATGATGATGATGATGATGATGATGATGGCGGTGACGTGATGACGATAATGATGATTATGATGATGATGACGATGACGACGATGTTGACGATGACGACGATAGTGACGATGATGACGACGACGCCGACGTTGACGCGGATGATAAAGATGAAGACGATATTGATGATGATGATGATGATAATTATGATAATGATGATGAATGGTATATATACCCACCCTCGTTCGGTAAAGATATGTTATGATACAAGCTAATCAAATTGAAATGATTGTATATTATTAATTTGCCGTTAATCTGCCTCACCGAAGAAGCGCTGGTTATTAAACATTTTCAGAAGATTAAAGTTTGAGCTGCTAATCTCAGATTAGGTTACGAAAGTGTATAAAATCAAAATGCGTAAAAATAGCCGTAAACCATTTTTTTTTTTTTTTTGTAAGCAACATGTTTTTGATAAAAGCAACGAATCTCAAAAGTTTGATTTCATTTCGGGTTTTGCCGGTGCATAAAAAGAAAGAAAACCTTTTAAACGAAGTTCATTTGAATTGGCAGGCAAGAAATATGAATTGACCAACCTTATACGAAAGATTTTGCGCATCTTCTGGCTTGAGGGCGACTAATTTTTAAGATAGTTTTCAAAAGAATCAAAATAAAAAAGTCATTCGGAAGAAATGTAAAACATTAATTAATAAAAAAAAAAAGAATTTCAAAATTAATCAGAAAATAAAAGCATTTATTTCTGATTCCGTCTTGTCCTTGTTTTTATCAGCTAAAAAGGCTGAAAAGTCAAAACCCTCTGACCTTTGTATTGTCTCAACTTGAGTTTTCCAATTATGGGCAAATGTTGAATGCTTTTGCAGTAATGTGAAACTGTGATCTGGAAATTAAATATAGAAAATGAATCGTGTGTGAGCCACGATATGAAATGAAATGCATAGATCGGGCTGCAAAATCAACAGAAAGGAGGAGGTTTTATTTGATTAATTTGGGAAGTTATTAAGTTTTTATTTGAAGGAAAGACATTGTATCGAAGGAATAGAAACGGCTTTATATCTCTTCATGATAAGTGATTGATAGATGTATCTCAGTCAGTTCATATCTATCTATCTATCTATCTATCTATCTATCTATCTATCTATCTATCTATCTATCTCAGTCTGTTCATATCTATCTATCTATCTATCTATCTATCTATCTATCTATCTATCTCTCTCTCTCTCTCGCTATATATATATATATATATATATATATATATATATAAAAATCTATCTCAGTCTGTTCATATCTATCTATCTATCTATCTATCTATCTATCTATCTCAGTCTGTTCATATCTATCTATCTATCTATCTATCTATCTATCTATCTATCTATCTATCTATCTCAGTCTGTTCATATCTATCTATCTATCTATCTATCTATCTATCTATCTATCTATATATATATATATATATATAAAAATCTATCTCAGTCTGTTCATATCTATCTATCTATCTATCTATCTATCTATCTATCTATCTATCTATCTATATATATATATATATATATATATATATATATATATATAAAAATCTATCTCAGTCTGTTCATATCTATCTATCTATCTATCTATCTATCTATCTATCTATCTATCTCAGTCTGTTCATATCTATCTATCTATCTATCTATCTATCTATCTATCTATCTATCTATATGCCTGTTTGTCTCTCTTCATATCTCTATTTATTTCGTTTCCTCTCCTCCTGTTTTATATGTAGGTAATTGGACAGATACTCACTTGAGCGTAGACAAGAACATAAATAAGCGCACATTCACCGTATCTATCTGTCTGTCTGTCTGTCAATATGGCACTCGTTCTGTATGTAAGCATTCAACCAAACGTATTCGCTTTTTACAATATTTTCATGCATCTGCCTGTTTGTGTGCGTGCGTGTGTGTCATCGCATTTGGGCTTATGAAAAAAATCGATACAGACATTGGTGGTTTGATCAAGGAAGAGAGATCGATATAAACAAACTGAAGTCGATAAAATAATGGCTTTCTTAAACATTGAACTAATAAAGCCGCCGATAATCTCCAATGCTTTCTTTATTTGTCTCTCATCAAAAGATCCTTTACTTGCATGCGACCAATAAGGTAAATATATCGGATATCTGAAAGCATAGATTTAACGTTTAGATATCAGTCTACTTATTTTCAATGTAAATAAATGCTTACAACTGCCATTTGGATTTTTATTTAAAAAAAAAGAGAGATCTTCGACATAGCCGTATTCACTCACATCCAATTTGCCTCTCTTTCCAGAAAAATCCTTGTAGATAACATAGACACATTAAGAACATTTAGTTGTAAAAGCTGTTTGAAGATATTAAAATCATTCGCAATAAAAATGCAACAAACCTTACTCAAAATATGACCCTTTCCGAACATAGCCAAGGTGTCTTGAACTCCAACCAACATTTGAAAATGTATTAATCTTCAAAAAAGAAAAAATGATAGACATTGATATAATGGAAATATAGGAATAGGTAGATACATACATAAGACAGACTAGATATATATATATATATATATATATATATATATATATATATATATATATATATATATATATATATATATATATATATATATATATATATATATATATATATATATATATATATATATATATATATATATATATATATATATATATATATATATATATATATATATATATATATATATATATATATATATATATATATATATATATATATATATATAATATATATAAGAATAAAAGAAAGAACAGTAAGATATGTAATCCGGTGTCCTTATAGATACTTTTATTTTTACAAAATAGTGCTCAATGTAAATTTACGGAGCATAAATATTATAAATTAATTGATTTAAAATATGGGTTTTTCCGCTACACAGTTCTAACCATGTTTCAAAAAAGGAAGCTGAAAGCTCCGAATTTAATTTGGTAATTAAATTAAAGACATTAGTTCCATTTCATCCTCAAGCGAATTTTGGAGTAATTTTTAAAATTACTGGGTTTTAAAGCCACAGCAAAAATCATAATTCACGTTTCCAAGGATACAGAGAAATCCAATTCAACCAGACAAGGGGTGTTTGCGTGTTCATTATCGCTGTATTTTGATGTATCAGTTATTAGTTACGTTTTGGTAGGGGTAGGGATGGATTTTGCAATGAAATCTGACATCCGTTAAATGCATGTCGTCTGGATTTAAAAAAAAATTATTGTTAACGGCAAAAATTCTTACGGCATTTTTTCATTAATTTATAATATATATATATATATATATATATATATATATATATATATATATATAGATAGATAGATAGATAGATAGATAGATAGATGCGAACATAGTGAACTTTAGGACATGAGTCGGGTTGCGATAGAATCATATTTTTTCCAAAAATAATTTTAATACACGCACGCACACACACACACACACACACACACACACACACACACACACACACACACACACACACATATATATATATATATATAGAGAGAGAGAGAGAGAGAGAGAGAGAGAGCTGAATGACCATAGATAGATTGATAGATAAAGACTGAGAAAAGTCTCCGTCTGTGTCTCTCCTCCTCTCTCTTCTCTCTCTCTCTCTATATATATATATATATATATATATATATATATATATATATAGAGAGAGAGAGAGAGAGAGAGAGATAGATGGATAGATATAAGCAGACTTACATTAAATAATAAGCTGATATGAGCACACATAAATTATGTAATAGAATGATACGAATAGATAGGTAGATATTAATGACAACAGATAGATAGATATTGATGACAACAGATAGATAGATAGATAGATAAGGACAGTAGCTTGTTGCCTGAATACCACTAAAACACAAAGCAAATATGATTTCTCTGACCATACTGTATAGAGACGAAAGAAAACAGTGGCACCCAGTAAGTTTATGACTTCTTTTCCTTCAGCGGAACCACTTCTCTTGATCGTGTGTGCTCTTAGGTGACGAGAACAGAAATAGAATTGTTTTAAATCCAAGCAAAAACTGGGCACAGGTTCGATTACTGTCGGGAAGCCCATTTTTCTTCATTAAGATTTCTTGATCTTGGACAGTTGCAATTAATTTCCCTGTATTGTCAAAGAATAATGAGTGACGCCAACTCATAACCTGAACCTATTGAAAAATCATTCATTTAAAAATTATATACAGGGTGAGGCGAAAATCGCTCAACATAGGGATAAATGGTAATAATTCCACATTTATTTTCTAGTTATTCAATTGTTCTATATGCTGTTCAAAATGTCTTCCTTCTTTTTCAAATTAGATTTCAATTCTGTGCCTGCACAATTTATTAAAACGTCGAAGAGTTTTCTCTGTGATTTAACTGCATTCATATTTCATTATTTCTTTTAGTCCGTCGGCGCGTTTGATAAACAACTTATTTTAAATGGGCCCACAGAAAACAAAATCCAAGCTTGTTGGGTCTGGTGACCACGGTATCACTCAACAAGACTTCTTCGGCATATCCATTAACCTCTATGGTACGTCACGCTGTTTTTATATATATATATATATATATATATATATATATATATATATATATATATATATATATATATCTCATACTTATTATAAAACCCAGGTTGTGTGTGTGTGTGTGTGTCTGTACGTTTATATATTGGATCGGATTTCCTACATTTTTCAACCGATTTCAAATAAAACTTCACAGGACTACGTAAAATTACTTTGCGGTGGTTCTGACAGCGCCAAAAATTGGAAAAACATAATTGTTTTTGCACGAAATTAATTTGAAAACACGATTAAGAGGCATTAATGAAAGGGGAACAACTCATATAGAGTTATACTTAGTAAAATCGAGTAATCGAGTTATACTTATTATAAAACCTAGGTTGGTTGTGTGTGTGTGTGTTCGTTTATATATGGGATCGGATTTCTTACATTTTTCAACCGATTTCAACAAAACTTCACTTTTTTTGGCAGGTAGTGTTTCTTATTGTCTTGCACACTTTTTTCTTTATTTTTACATTCAGAATGCTTTAAAAATTCCATTTACAAGACAATTGTTTATAATAAAATTCTATTCAATCGGTAGACTCATAACAATTGAAAACAATGTTTTTGTTTGAGTTTGGGTTTGACCAATTCGTAAAAAAAAACTAATTAAGACATGCGTGTCCGTCAACCTTAAAGAATAATCTTTGTCAATTTTATTTTTCTGTCTTTCTGATGGTCGATACTTGATCTATCTCTTACTGTTACATCCCCGGGAAACGCCGGGCTCTACTGCTAGTATATATATACTAAAACTATTTAAACTCGGTGAGTGAAAAAAACAGGGTAACACAATTTTCAAACGAACTGACATCCGAGGAAAAAATTAGAAAAAAAAAGAAAGCACCAGAAATCTCCGAACAGGGCGAAAACAATCGTCCAGTGCCTTAAATTTTTGGTACAAAGAAAAAAAAACAAGCAGCGGGTAATAAGTTAAAACGGAGATTGCACAATACACTAAGTAGAACAAAAGTAAAATAAATAAATCCTAATGAGTCCGGTACTACCTACCTACCTTTCAATACACTGAGTAGGTAGAACATAGCTCATTAGGATATATATATATATATATATATATATATATATATATATATATATATATGTGTGTGTGTGTGTGTGTGTGTGTGTGTGTGTGTGTGTGTGCTACAAATATCAATATATATATATGCGCATAAATCAACAAACGAATCAGAAAACGCATATCATATATAAGTGGACGTTGAAGTCAACACCCACCGGCAATTGTCTTAAACGCAATCGTCAGGCCATGTGCTTTGTATTTTTCGCTCGACTATCTATATATTCAGGTTAGTGATTCATTATGGGTAAATTTATTCTATTATTATAACGGTTATTTGGGTGGGCCTTAATTTTACATATAAATCATATATCAACACATGAAAACGTACTAATAACAACCAACAATGAAATAATAAAGACAAAAACAAACAGCACTATAAAGTAGCCACAAGACCGCAGCCGGATCCAAAATTATATCCACTCAATCTAAATAACCGTGAGATTAACATAATAGATCTATTAATGATGCATCAGATATAAATAGTCAAGCAGATACTCAAGGCGCATGGCCATTACAATTGCGCTTAAGCATGAAACAGACTGGGTGTTGACTTCAATGTCCACTTTATATTTATATAGGTCCTATCCCTAATATTGATTACTTTAACCCATAAATATAGTCAGTTAGACAGTTATGTACCATGCGTGTTACACGCTTAAGAGATCATGTATTTTTCAATACATGACTGACGAAGCAGACTGAGTACGTTGCCATTAATTTCTGCGGTAAACCAATTGCTATCCAAGGCTATAGAACCCGGTCTGTCCTGCTATTTACCCATAGCTAGAGGGAGAAGAAAGGATTCATACCTTTCCCAAGGGCATTAGCATGTAAGTGGATATAATGGACTTCGACTGGAATTCGAACACGGCTCTCCGATTCCTCAATCCGAGCCGCTATCCATTACTCCACCGTGTCTCCTTTATAAATAGAGCATAACTTAAAAACGTCCGATGGATAAATTGTCGTCTAAATGACGCAAAAATGAAAGTAACACATTTTTAACAGATATATTTCCCAACATTACACAGCCTCCAGACGACTCGGAGTCTCCTGCATCTCATTTGGATGGTGTTCTTGTGTAAGTTGTTGAATACTGCCATAACCCTTGCCTTCTGTTCATCTTTGGTGTTACAAGGAGATTTGTTGGTCTCTTGTTCAACTGCGCATCACACATAATAATCAAGTGGGTTGCCGTCTGGGAAGTTATGTGACCAGATGTGGTTGCAGAAATTGTCTGACAGCATGGCTGGGTTCTCCTGCTTGTATGTCATGGTGCAGAGTCCTGTTATCAGACATATATTCTTCCATCAGCCAGTCTCTTGACCCAGGGCAGCACTTTATCCACAAGACACTTGATGTAGGCATCCGTAGGAAGATTAACGGAAACGTAACATCGCTATCACGAGCGATTTCTCCAAACGCCTTCGTAATCACCATTAGACTCATCCAACTCTTTGCGAATCCTCTGAACTGTCCTCAGATTGACACCCAAACACTCTGTAAGGTTTGTATTGGAGCTTTTGGTGCCAATGACAATCAGTACAGTATAACGTTTCCAAATTTCTGGCAGAGTGGTTCGCATCATGGCTCTCTTTTTCTCACAGAGAGTGCCCAACTGACCCTACTGACCTGTGCAGTTGACAAAATCAAAAACAAACAAAAATTATATTTTTAATCTCTCTCTCTCTCTCTCTCTCTCTATCTATCTATCTATCTATATCTATCTATAA